AGTTAGTAGACGTACGTTATAGTAAACAATAAGAAAATAAAAAGAAATAATAAACCCAACTACAAGTAGTTAACTATTTTTAGTTACCCCCTACGTATATATATATATATGTGTGTGTGTGTGTGTGTGTGTGTGTGTGTGTGTGTGTGTGTGTGTGTGGGTTGTGTGTACGATAGGGTTCCACTGAAAATAAATTTTCGAATAATAGTTCCATAGTAGCATAGAGGTTGAGAACCTCTGTTCAACATGATGTTGGAATTGCCAAAAGGAGACATTGTTAGACACCAAAAAAAAGCAAGAGACCCCACTGCCATTATATCCTTGGGTTGGCCATATAAGATTAGGAAAGAAACAAAGGGGTTATGAAGACACTAAATAACCAAGTTCTTTAGTTTAAAGCTAAGAACGTCGTATGCACCACCAATTTAAAGCTCAATACTTTCACTATAAGGGGTGTTGCAAATTAAATCACACTTTTTTTTTCCCCAAGAGCATAACAAAGTAAAATAAGATTTTAATTCAATCAAAAAAGTAATTTCATGAATCAATATTGCTTGATTTGGTCACCATTGTTTACACTCACAAGTTTTAATCGAATTGCAAAGGATTTCAGCAATGTAACAAATATGTCTATTGTGGCCGTCTCTGTGAGCACATCAGTGAGAACACGAATCAAGGTTTCTTGTTTGTCTCTCTCACATTCAGGCAAAGTTTCCAACATTTCTTCTGTGCATTGTTGACTGATAGCTCCAATATTTTCAGTGGGATTTAAATTTGGAGAGTTCCCAATCCACAATTTTTTCATGGACCACTCTTTCAAATTCAACAATTCTGAAACTTTTGAGGCATTAATCGGATTTTTCAAATCTGGCAAATGTGTCGATTGGAACACTTGAATTCTTGGAGCATGTCTGCGACTAGTTTCTGAGCCATTTCGAAGGTAGCACATGCAACATGAACCTGAGTTCTAGAGAGCACCATGATTCAAAAGTTTTCACAAATAAAAAATAAATTCAAAGAGTACAAACACCCAAGAGTATGTTG